CATGACCTGAGCCGAAGACAGTCGCTTAACCAACTGAGCCACCCAGGCGCCCCATAAGAGTATTTTAATCACCCTGACCTTTGTGCTTGTATTTTCACATATACTCATATCTGCTTACATTATAAACCCCATAGTATACGGTGTCATAATTTTTTGCTTTAAACAGTCATATGTCTTTTAAAGAAAGTAAGAGATGAAAAAATACGTACTCTTTTATACTTACTCACATATTTCCTATTTCCAGAGCTCTTTATTCTTTTGTGTAGATTCAGGTTACCATCTATGGTCATTTCCCTTTAGGCAGAAAAACTTTTTTTTAGCATTTTATATAGTGTATGTCTTCTGGCAGCAAATTCTTTCAGCTCTTGTTCGTCTAAAAATGTCTTTGTTTTCTTTTTTGAAGAATATTTTCACTGGATAAAGAATTTCGGGTTTCAGTTTGAGTTTTTTTACAGCACTGGAAAAATCTTGCATTGTCACCTGACCTCCGTTGTTTCTAAGGAAAAGTGAGCTGACATTTGAATTGTCATTCCTTTGTATGTATTGTGTTGTTTTTCCCTGGATTCTTTTAAGGTTCCCCCTCCCTGCCCCAAAGACATGATTTCTAGCAGTTTGATAAGGGAACGGGCACATAAAACTTAAACAGCTTGCCCAAGAATGCATAGCTAGTGAGTAGAAAAATTCATTTTGTTTCAGTTGGTATTGAAGGCAACGGAAATTGTATTATTATTCAAGAACTGGAGTGTGGGTCCATGGGATGCAGCCTTGAAGAGCTAATGAAACTGTGACCCTTAATTACTCTGACTATGCTGCACTCCAGGCAAGCCTTCGGGTCCTCTTGTTACTGCTGCAGTAAGAATGACAGAATGCAAGGTCTATGGACGTGAGTGGACAACTTGAAGAAGGAAATGCCAAGATCTAATCTTGCGTTTTCATCTAAAGATGGGGACAAAAACTTGTAGATATTCTATAATTAAGCTAACATAATTTCTTATATCTACTAGCCTTAGGGCTGAGATAGTTCTTAAACTCACTGTTTAATCCAGCATGAGCTGAATTCATATTCGTGCCAGGTTTTCTATTTGAGAGTTAGGTGTTGATCAGGAAGGAATGAGGTCAGTTATTCCATATTATTCTTCAGAGAGTTTCTTCAGGGAAAGAGTATGCTCCTGAGTGGTGCTGTGGCAATTTTAAGATGGGGTTTTGGGGGAAATATTTTTGGGTGGGTGTTTTATAATCAGAATTATATAAAATATTTTCTAAATGTTCTATTTTAACTTATAAGACTTATATAAATGCATTCTGAATAAGTTGGATGGCTCATAAAATGATCATGCTTCATGTTGAAAGTTGAGATCTTATTTTTAAAAAGGATTTTGGAGAATATGCTACCTTTTCCAACTTAGGTAGTGGGATGAGAAAAGAATAATATTTTTAGATGAGCCCTCTATCCTCTCCTCTGCTCTCTTGGTCAGACACAGCCATACCTGTGCTTTTCCTAGAATCTCCTGTTCTGTTGGTGGAATCATCCAGAAACAATTTAATCCTGATATGTTACACTAGGGGTCATGTGTTATCCAATGGGCCAAATCCAGCCTTTTGGTAATTTTTTGTATGGCCCTGAATTAAGAAAGGTTCTTAAATTTTTAAGAAGCTGGGTCGGGGGGGAAGCATATGCAACAGAGACAGTTAAATTTTACAAAGCCTAAAATATTTATTATCCAGCTTTTTACAGAAAAAGTTTGCTGACCCGTCTTTTTCACCGTACTTGCTGGGGATACAAAAAGTCAAGGATTCTACCCACATGTAGTTTATTTGATCAAGAGTTTCTCTTTAGGGAATTGATGATATAGCAACCCCTCTTTTTTATGTTTACAAACTACTAGAATTTGGACATGTTTGATAAGAATCTCTTTATTGTTCGTTGTTCCCTGATGTTTACCTCTGGTTTTAAAAGTAGTGATAGCTGTGTGTATCAGCTGACATTGCTGTGTAACAGACCATCCCAACACCCAGTGGCTTAAACTAGCAAGGATATGTTATTTCTCATGAGTCAGTGGGTCATCTGGGGAACCAGTTGATTTAATCGGGGCTCAGGTAGGGGTGGCTCTGCTCTACGTATTTCTCATCTTCCTTGTGGTGTCAGCCTGGGCAAGTCCTTCTCAGGGTGATGGCAGAAGTTTAAGAGAGCAAGCTGAAACACAGCAAAGTCTCTTGATGACTAGCTTGGGACCCGCTATACTGTCACTTCCAGCTCATTCTTTTGGCCAAAGCAAATGATGTGACTGAACCCCCAAAGAGCGGGGAATAAGCCCTACTCTCATTGGAAGGACATTGGAGAGTTACGGGGCAAAGGACATGAAAGTTTGAGGCCACTAACGCAGTCTGTCATAGTTTAACGTCAGGATGTGCCTTGCCACCAGTATTGGGAGGCAGGTATTATACACATCAGAGACCCGGGCAGCAGGGAATCATTCCCCAGAAGTCCTTCTCGAGGGGCATCAGGAGTACAAGGGCCCTGAATCCCTTCAGTTTAGCTTTTGTGTACTGAGTGCCTTCTTTGTGCCTAACACTGTACTAAGTTGTGGGGCTTTTGGAGCTTCAGGTCTAACAGTGAAAACAGACCATGACACATGCTTAGAAGATGGTATGATAGTTCCAGTAGTAGAAATTGGTACTGGATATAAAAATAGCAACGGAAGAGAGAGGGAATCGGCTCTGTGTTGTGGAAGACCTGGGAAGCTTTGTTGAGGAGGAGCTAAAATTAAATCTTGAAGCCTGGACAGGTCCACATTCCCTGCAGAACAAGTTCAGGTAGAGAAGTACTATTTCTGGGAAAAAGTACAGCAACCTGTTAATGCTTAGGAATTGATTATAATTAACAACTCTTGTTTGTGCTCAGATAATAGAAAAGTCTCTAAGAGCCCGTGAATAACTTTGTAGTTACCTCCTTCTTACATTATTTATTGCAGTAGTTGTCAGACGTCAGCCTGCATCAGAATCACCCGGAGGACTTGTTAGAACACAGATTGCTGGGCCCACCCCCAGAGCTTCTTACTCAGTAGGGCTGGAACAGAGCCAGAGAATTTGCATTTCTAACAAGTTTCCAGATGATGCTGATGGTGCTGGTTCAGGGACAACACTTTGAGAAGTATTGATTTATTGAGCCTTTCCTCTGTGTCTGGCGCTCTGCAATGTGGTGAGTATATAAAAATGAAAAGAAAACATCCCTGTCCTCAAATTGCTCATGGTAGGGTGGCAGAGACAGAGAAGTGTGTAGTGATAGTCCAGTGGAGCGGATGACGAGCTACATGAAAGCAGTTTGCTGTGAAAATACACCAAAGGGGCACTAGTTCACAATGTGGCTGGAGGCTGCAGGTGTGTGTAAGACCCAGAGACCACCCTTTAATTTGCACCAAGTTTAAAAAAAATCTGAAAGTAGAGGCCTTAGGTTTTATGGAACCCTTTTACATACATAATTAAATTTGATTTTTTCCCGTTAAAAAAAAGTCCTAAAGTAATAACAAAGAGAAAAATGACCTTGAGTCATGCTTTGCATGAGCTTGGTAAATGGAGTCATCTTTAATATTGCCTTTAAGAAATTTTCTGATCAGAATTTTTCTAGACAAGCTTGTAGTTGTGTAGGCAGGACAACACAGGCTGAATCAGTTACTTTGCAAATAAAAAAAATACTCCTTTCTTTTGTTAATTTGTGCTACTCATCTTCAGCTATTTTAAAGACGTTAGTTGGAGAAAGATGTTACATTTATTTATTTTTTTTTTTTTAAAAGATTTTATTTATTTATTTGACAGAGAGAGACACAGTGAGAGAGGGAACACAAGCAGGGGGAGTGGGAGAGGGAGAAGCAGGCTTCCCGCTGAGCAGGGAGCCCGATGTGGGGCTCGATCCCAGGACCCTGGGATCCTGACCTGAGCCGAAGGCAGACGCTTAACGACTGAGCCACCCAGGCGCCCCAGATGTGACATTTATTATGTGTGACTCTGTTCTCACAAAAACTGCTAGAAACGTATGTATGTCAGAATGCAGGCAAAACTAAATGACAGCAGGAGCTTTGAGAGCTGGGAAAACAATTTGTTAGGCAGCTGGTCCTGGGACTCAGGTGCTGAGCCTGCCCTTGAACAAGATTCGTCACGGTTGTGGGCTAGTGTGACTGTAAGACAGACCCACACCTCTGCCTCAAGAGTAGCGCTGAGGAGGAATGCAGTGGGCATTATGTCACCGACCCAGACAGGGCTCATGGTTGAACATGGTAAGCTGAGGGAGGGGCTTGGATCAGTCAGGGAGCAGTCAGGATACCTGAAGCATGCAGCTGGTTGGTCAATTGACTGAACTATATGCCAGCAAGTGAAAGAGTGAAACAGAGATTGGAGAAACAGAGCTGTACTCATGAACTTGTTTGTCTTGGCATTAAAGATATTCTGCCTTCTAATGTCTCAGTCCTGGACTGTGTTGTCATCTCAACCTGAAGGGATAATACCCTTAGAGGGGTAATGGTCTGTATGGCTTCTATCTATCTCTTTATATATTTTTTTAATCAAAAGCATATATGTAGTAGTGCCTGGGTGGCTCAGTTAGTTAAGCATCCAACTCTTGATTTTGGCCCAGGTCATGATCTCAGGGTTGTGAGATCGAGCCCCACATCGGGCTCTGCACTGGGCCTGGAGCCTGCTTGGGATTCTCTCTCCCTCTCCTTCTCCCCCTCTCTTCCACCCCTCCCCCCTACTTGTGCGCAGGCGCACTCTCTAAAAAAAAAAATGCCTAAAGTTATGCAGAACATTTCATTTTAAATAGTTATATTCCCTCTGACAAAGCAAGCTAAAGTAGAAATTATAAATAGAATTCTTTCACTTTAAAATCATATAGTGCAATGTATTTTCATTGAAGTTGAATTATTAATGAAAATTATTTGTAATCTTTTTAACGGTCCTTTTTAAGATATAATCTCATTAACAATGAAATCTTGTAACCTTTTTCTTAGCATACATCTGTAGATGGATACATTGAACCGCATATCCCGCCTACCAAATCAAGTAGCAGACAGAACATTCCTCGGTGTAGAAACTCCATTACGTCAGCAACAGACGAACAGCCTCACATTGGAAATTATCGTTTACAAAAAACAATAGGGAAGGGAAATTTTGCCAAAGTGAAATTGGCAAGACATGTTTTAACTGGTAGAGAGGTAAGTTTTCATGACGCTTTTTAATATTTACTTGGACCTCTCCAGGGTCTTGTTACAAAGCTTTCCTATGAGCTGATGCTGGGAATAAATGACATTTGAAATATGGTAAATACTGAGATATGTGTGAATGGAACATCCGTAGACAGAGCTATAATAAGGCACAAAAAGTTGGCCTTTGAAGGTTCAGAAAAGACTCATCCCTGCCTGTAGCATCTCATAAATCAGGCATACTACAGTTGAGCTTTCCTCGGACTTCTGTCTTCTTTATATGGTTTCTGTAAACATTTTTGACTACCTTTGTTCCCCGACCCTAGGAACAGGGCCAGGGTAAGTTCTCATTACTTACTGCTTAAGGTAAATTAGGTATAAATGTGTATAAAGTCACCCACTACTTTTTATCTGTTCAGAGACCACATTGCACTTGTGGTTAAAAACAGATGTTTTTCTTAGGTAATAAGAGAATTGGGTTTCTAAAATCCCATGTGTTTTAAATTATGTGTATGTGGATAGCAAAAATGTATGTATTTAATCTTATTACTAATATTTAATAATTTGTATAGTAAAGACTAAAAAAGTTAGTATTACTTAATGTTTCCTGGATTCAGTTAGGACATTATGAAGAACTCAGTCATAATTTGTTTTTAATAAGTTTTTCTTTTGCTCTGTACATAATATTGTCACTTATGGTTCATTTTAGCCCTCTGCCCATTCTGGCTCCAGGAACTGTTCAGACACAGGCTCTATTAGGCAGAGACTTAGACTTAATCCACTTGGTTAGTCTGGGGCTATAAGCGAACTTGGGTGTTTGATTTCTCTAATCATTTTATTCACATGATACCTAACCTACTGAAAGCTTATAATCCCCTCCCTTCTGAAAATTATAACTTACTAAGATCATAAGTAAAAGATTAAGATACAAATGATTATTACTTTAAAGGGGAGACTTGGAAGAAATACGAAAGGTGTCATTTTATTGACTCAGAATCCGATATGCTAAAGACATAGGTCAATGGAATACATCATAAGGCTGCCAGATTGTCACAACTTTACCATCTAGTGATCTGAACACCAAATATAGCTAAATTACATCTAGTTAGGAATGAAACAAAAGATTTTTTCTTTATAAGTTTTTAATCCATCAAAATACATATTCTCAAATATATAGTTTAATGATTCTCTTTTTCAGGTTGCTGTGAAAATAATAGACAAAACTCAGCTAAATCCGACCAGTCTACAAAAGGTATTTAATTATTTTAATAGTAATTAATTAGAATATGAGTTTATTAATATATGATATTCTGTAAAGTCAATTATCCTAAATTTCCTATTAGGTAAAATACTACATGTCAGCAGTATCTGAAGGAAAGACATGGTATAAAACATAATATTTATATTTAATAATATTTCAATTATATTTATCAAGTAGTTGTTTGAGAAGTATCTACAACTCAAATTCATACACCATAGGAAAGGAATTTATGTCTTTTAATTCAGTAGAATAAAACTTTGTAACAAATATTTTGAAACACTCATGATTCTGTTTTGTTTAAAAATCTGTTTATAGTTAAATTGCCCATAGACGGTTTCCTTTTATTGCTTCACTTTCTTTTCTTCCTTTTCCACAGGAACTAGTCCCTCAGCTAGCTTAGAATAAAAAATATGAACAGTTCTAAAAAAAGGGTGCAAATAAAAAACAGCAAGGGGAGGAAAAGAAAGGAGTGAGGGTGGAGATTGCCCTGCTTAAACCTAGGAAAAGCTCTTTCAGGTTGCTCATTACTTATCTGGGAAAAATTTCTCAGATACACATTTTAGTACATTAAGAATGAAGCAAATATTTTAACCCTTATGCCATATGTGTTAAGTTTGTATATGGCAAATTAGTATACATTGTGATTTTTATTAAAATGTAGTAGGATCATGGTCACATATGGAAATGTGACAGATAACTTTTGAGTTCCTAAAAGAGGTCGAATCTTAATGTAAGAACTTTTTAGTATGGTGTGTTTAACTATACTTGCGGTCATTTTAACATTAAATTAAAAATTTGGGTCTGTGATATCAAGGCTCTCCCACTTAGCTCAGTGCCAGATAACTCAGTTTATTTTATCTACTTCTACTCAGAGATCTTTGTACTACTTACTGAGATTTCTTTTAAATTTAGCAATCAATGTAACTTTTATAGCACTGATATTTCTGATCAGGGAGAACAAAATATTTGCTTCATTCTTTTTTTTCCTCTGTGAAATGGTATACCTTATGGATGTCTTCTGGGAGAAACTTCTAGCACCAGTCTGTTAGCTAATTAGGATGCAGTGGTAAGAGTTATAAAAAAGTATCCTCTCTGGGCAGATGAATTACCCAAAGATGCTCTTTCCCTGGGCTGGAGCCACAGTGGGGCAGATTTTGCCACCCCTCTGCCAGGAATCTTCTAAAAATGCACAAAGTGCTTACGTGTGCCCCGTGGCCCCGTGACCCCATCCATCACCCGTCTGGCTTCTCCACTCTTCCTGGATTAATCTGCGAGTTGCTCTAGTAAACCGAGTGATTTTAAGTGACATTAAGTGATTGAGGCCTGTTTTGCAAGTTAGATGCCCAGTAATATGACCCCCACTCAGTCTTTGCCAAAGGGGCCCAGAGAAAGCTGTAGAACCACAGTTGCACTTGTTGAAACACGCAAACGTGAAGCCGAATGTTGCTTTATTTATCTGAATAACTAAAACATGAACTTGATGACAAGTAATTTCTGTTGTAAATTCTGCTAATCTTGCTGATGAAGTGTTGCTTTTCCAAATAGGTATATAAAGAATGATGGCAATTTTGTTTTCTTTAATCTGTGCAAATAAAATCCAAGGAAAGATAGATGTTCACTAAATGTAGCTCTGTACACTGTGGGTGTGTCATTATTTTTGAAATTTTCATTTATGCTCATAGATTTGCTCTCAGTTAAGAGTTTTGAAAACAAACAACAGATAAGGCTTGTAGAACACTCAACATTTGGCCAGTAGGATCTCCCAGTCTCTTTTTATATCTAAAAAAGTAATAATGGAATGAGAAGTATAATCTGTTTGTTTTCCTTAGCATTGACAGTGAAGTCCTTTAGGTAAAAAATAGCAAAACACGTTGTCCATGTCATTGGTGTGCTTATTAAAAGGCAGATAATGATAACACATATATTTGAAATAAGGATTCATTTTAATCTCATTTCCAAAAGCATTTGGTTAAATCTTCTTCTGGACTTGATCTGAATTTAAGCTGATTCCCATCCTTTATGTTCTCTTTGTGTGTAACATATTTATAGGAAATAGTACTTTCCTTTGCCAACATCAGTGATAGACAAAGTAACCTAAATTTGATACTGCAACTGTTTAAAACTTCTAAAATATAAAGCTCTCAAAAACAGTTTGGTCTTTGGAATTGTTAAGCATCTTTGGCTTCAATGTTGTTTACGTAATATGCTCATATTATTTTGTATCATATATTTTGAATTAGTGGGATCCAATTTAGTGAGTTTTCATCACTTAAAAATTATTTGAGTTCATTTCTGTATTTACCCCTTCCTCTTTGGACCATGAGTCTCACCTGATATTTTAATTAGTGTTTTTTGGGGTAGGGTTTATGAACTAAACTAGCAATTCCTGGGGATCTTTTAAGCAGCCTAATAATGTTGGAAGAAAAGCAAAACAATGAAGCAATTTTGTTGATAGTTCATGTACTCGAAATGTAAGATTAATTCATTTTTTCAGAAATTCCACTAAGATTTCAAACTTGGACACATCAGTTTACACATGGATGACAAAGTCTGTGTTAGCCTTTCTGAGCTCATAGCCATGTGGGTGCAGTTTATCTAGCTTCTGTGTATTGTTTATTAATTTGTATTTTCTGTTGTTTTACTATGTTGCATTATAGTCTCAACTCACAAAAACTTTCGGCTCAGTGGTTCTGAAGTGATTTGCTGAGTAGTAAAGCCTGAAATGAGAATGGAGATACGACTGCTGTAACTCAGAATTATGTCCTTAAATAATAAAGAGGGCTGCAGCATTGCAACGACATAGACTGTGAATCTGTGTGCTAGGACACTGGTTTTGTACAAGCAGGGAAAGTACAATCAATTTTCAGTTAACTGACATCTGAGAATTAGACTTATTAAGTGAATAATCCGTTTACGCCTAATGTCTGGTATGTTATCTGTTGTGTAAAATGTTGTCAGATGGTGACCTAAGCCATTTAATCTTCGGTGAATTTTCAGGTAAAGCCCAGCAACCTTTCTGGTAAGCTAGTTAAGTTTTCTAGAGCATCTGCAAAATAATTTTTACCATGGTCACTACAGGTAGAGAGGAGGACAGAACCATGGAAGCAATATTCAGAATTAAATTTCTATTAGCAAATTATCAAGAAACCAAACTTGTAAAAGCAATCATACAATTATTGACACATATTTTTATCAAGGAGAGAGCAGAAGAAGCTCTTTGGCAGGGTTCCTTAACAAATCTCTCTGTTGGACATATGTTGAAATACTAGTTACTGTCACATATGCATGCTTTAAAGCATATTTCACTTTATTGTTCTTTTCACATGTGTGGGCCATTTGAAGGAAAAATCTTGACCAATTCTTTTGTGGGTTGGTGAAAATCTAAACGATAAGAGTTAACATTTTGTGAGCTGGGTTGTAGACTGCAAAAGTTGTCTTCGAATTAGTTTTTCCCTTCAAATTAGAGGATGTCTGAGTTGAAGGCATAAATTTGTGACCCTGCCTACAGTTGAGACAGCCCAGGAAGAGAATACAGAAAGAAGAGAAGACCAAGCTTTTTTTTTGGAGAGCCTTTTTTTTGGAGAGTGTATATGGGGGGCAGTAATTCTGCAAGGAATGATGCTGCCATGCGAATAAATAAGCTTATACCTATGCCCAGTCACTCAGTATTTCATTTGCCATGAAATTAGTGGTTAGCAACACACCTCTGATCTTGATTTGGCTTTGAAGGAAATATTGAAAACAGGTTATCATGAAATCATGGCTATTAAAAGATGTCTCTTTAGCGTACAGTGTGAAGAATTGGTGGGAAGTATATCTTTGAAACTGAAATATGATGGATTTTGAGGGAAAAGGTGGTCAAACAAGTTTCCTTTAAAAGCTGATACCAATAATGTTAATGTCTATCTAGAAATATGTTGAAGATAAGATAACCAGATTTTCTGAAAAAAACAAAAAGTTTCAAGTAGTCCACTGACCAAAAATTTGACTTTTCTAAACCTTGTTGGCCCTCTTTAGTTATTGGACAGAAGGGTCAATGACCTATCTTTGGGCGTGTTTAACACACAAATGCTATATCCAAATATGAAAGATAACCTTCCCGAGCAAGCATATCCAAAGGGTATATTAAGAATTCATTTGCTATTATCCTTCCAATCGAAACTTCTGGCCTTCCAACTTTTCAGTGTGATAAGATTAGCAGTCTAGACTGGAACCTGTCTGAGAGCTGTACATAATCTTCAGGGAGAAAGATCTTTGTAAAGTAATCAATCTGAATGTCGCTGACACATCATCTGATGCTGGTTCCTTTCTCCAATCTATATGATCATGACTTAGGATTTTTTTTTAATTCAGTAGAAATAAAAAATTTTAAAAAACCTTGAAATGGAAACTCTCTTATGGTCGCTAAGTGCCATTGAGCCTGATACATGTGTTCATTAATTCTTAATCTAACAAGAATTTATTGAAAGAAGGTTGTATTTCTCCATATATTTTCTTCTGTTTTTTGGCTCCTCCTTTTGTGTTTCCTTTATGTAGAGTCATTGCCTTTTCTGTTGGCTTCGATGTTAGACCCCCACAAAGCTTGGTCTTCTTTTCTTTCTGTATTCTCTTCCTGGGCTGTCTCAACTGTAGGCAGGGTCACAAATTTATGCCTTCAACTCAGACATCCCCTAAATTTGCTTGTAATTTCTCAAAGATAGCCCAAACTTCTCATATCCAAAACTGAACTCCTGACCTCTGCCCCACTTGCTCAGTACCTAGCCCACCTGGTGTTCTTCCAGCATCCTCTCTCAGTGAATGACACTGTCCTCGAGTTGTGCAAGCCAGAAGCCCAGAAGAGCCCTTGACTCCTCACTCTTCCTTTTTCCCACCCTCTAGTCTATGCTTGGGTTGTGCAGATTTTGTCTTACAAAGCTTTTGAGAACATCTGCTTTTATCTTTTCCCATCATGACCACTCTAGACAAAGCTGCTGTTGTCTGTCCTGGGAACT